ATATATATATATATATATATATATATGATGCATTCCTTTCATGTTCAAATCCATCTCCTCAAGACCTGCAATTGGTTTCTTTAGGTCACATGCTTTAGTACTGGCTAATCCCACCTATCTTGCATCTATTCTAAGCATCGTACTTATATATGTGTGTGTAGAGGGGGGGAGGGGGGGTAGCCTTACACACCAATTCACCGTTTTTTAAGGATTTTTTTTTCCAACCTTATTCACATTCGTATTCCTGTTACATCTTGGTTTGGCGATACTTATCATACTTAAATACACTAACCCCTTATATTAAAATTTTAAAAAAAGAAAAAAACGTCTTGCTCACAATGTCTAATGCCTTCTCCCCTTCTTTGATGCTAGCGGGGATGGACTACATCGCGCCCTCGTCCGTGTGTATTAAACCGGCAGCCGTGCAGACATCGTCCTCCGGGGTGGTGGAGCGGCATGGGCCGTCCTCACGGGCGGAGGGTCCATCCGATCCGACGAAATCGACCCCGTCCTCTTCGTCTTTTCCCCTACAAAAAGTGGAGGTGATGAAGATCTCGCTGCGGGATTGCCTCGCCTGCAGTGGGTGCGTCACCACCGCGGAAAGCGTCTTGGTAGAATCGCAGAGCCGCGGTGAACTCATCGCGGCGGCTCTGGGGCCAAGCAAAGAGACCCCTCCGCCTGCGTTGTTGGTCACCATCAGCGATGCCTCGGCGGCCTCTTTGGCGGCGTTTATGGGCACTTCCGCGGTGGAGGCGATGGGGTGCATTTCTGGGTTTTTTAAACACGCGGTTCGCCGCGATGCGGGGCAGAACATCCTCGTTTCCGACCTCCGCTGGGCCCTCGCCATCAGCGCGGAGCTCACCGCCGATGAGTACCTACGGCGCTGTGAAAATGACCGGGGGAGCCTTCCGCTGATTGCGTCCGCCTGCCCTGGATGGGTGTGTTATTGCGAAAAACAAGGAAGTGGGTTGCTTTCGTTGCTGAGCCCCTTTCTCTCCCCGCAAGGGATCGCAGGCTCCTTGGTGAAGCGCTGTGTGGACGAGGGATGCTATCACGTGTCGATCCAGCCCTGCTTTGACAAAAAGTTGGAGGCCGCACGCGATGGGGGTTACTGGGGGGCTGCGGCAAATGACGAAGCGGAGAAGGTGCCGTATACGGACTGCGTGCTGAGCACCGCGGAACTTCTGGAATGGATGCGGGAGGTTGATGAAGAGCTGCCATGGCGGGCTTCGCTCGATTCGGATTATACGCCCTTGTTGGGATCTTCCTCGATTTCCTCGCAAAATACGCGCTTCTCCGCTGAAGGCGGGGATCGGGCGGATGAGTTGAACCACACAAACGAAACACTCGCGCACATTGAAGGAAGTGGCGGCTATCTTCGTCGGGCAATGGAGAAGGTACTGCATCGTATTACCGCCAAGAAGGAGAATCCGGAAGAAACGGAAGAAGAAAATTCCACCCCCACGCACATGTTTCATTATGAAACGAAACGTAATCGGAATCACCAACTCGTCAAGTGTGCTGAACTCCCCCAGCAGGTCTTTTGTGTGGCTTATGGATTTCAGCAGATTCAGAATATTGTGCGTGGGCTCAAAAAGAAGCTTCCTGCGGTCCGATCGTGTACCTTTATCGAGATGATGGCATGCCCGGATGGTTGTTTAAACGGCGGTGGGCAGATTCGTCGGTCGCCGTATACACCGCAAAACCACGAGGAAACGCTTTGCTCGGTAGAAAGTGCTTTTGAGGAATTTTTGAAAGGTCCCAAGGCGATCGTGGTGAATGAAGAAGGTAGCGAATTCAAAAAAAATGGGTCGCATTCCGGCAGTTTAATGGAGAAGAGCTCTAAGGACTATCCGGCGCGTAATTTAATCACGTCTTCTTCGGAGAAGAATGGAATTTATGCATTGGATTCAACGGTGGAAAATAAAAATGCCCCTGCGGAAGAAACTCTTTTTTCCCAAAGACGTGTGATGGATATGCTACACCGCGTAGGTCCAGATGCAGTGCGCTGCGTATTCACTGACAGACAAAAGGAATTTGAAGAAATGCTCAACAAAGGTAATCTTCAAAGTCTGAAATGGTGATGCATTAAACAAATCCTAACACATGAATCGAGAGAAAAACAAAATAGGTTTGATAAACCTAATTAACATTAATAATAATGAATGGTGGAATGTTCATAAACACCATTAGCTCTTCGGGATGATCGTTTTTACAAGCAAAAAACATCTTGCCTTACATTTCCTTTATTTATTGATTTGATTGCGCGTGAATTGCAACTTTTTTTTTCTTTTGAATCCTCCGTTTTTCAAACATATTGATAAAATTATGAACATCCAAATTAACTTCATCTTTATGTATAAAAAGAGCAAGAGGTTGAAAACGTAATTGCCAATATTGTCTAAACCTACCTTTATCTTCTTCTTTTCAATTCAGATCCAAAGGAGTTAGCACAATGCCAAGGGCCTATTACCGACCTTTTACGACTTATGAAGAGATCTTTGGATTTCACACGGTACGCCGCAACGCATATTTTTTCTGCGCCTTTCTTTTTAGTGCCTTGCTTTTTAAAATCGCCATTTTCTTCAGGTATAGTCCGTCCTCGTCCTTCAGCACGGCTGATATCGAAAACAACCCGGACTATCACCGTATGATGGATAAGCGACTTGAGATGGTGGAGACGTTGAGTTCGCAGGAAAACATGCGGATGGCTCTGAAGCGACGGCTGCAAGCCCCCCCTGCTTAGTGCTAATGGTACTTATTTGTGTATTGTAAGGTAAAGAGAAAAAATGCTCTTTTTATACTAGTATAGTGGTCATGCACTTTTAGGAAAGTGAAAATGCATGATGAAGCAAATACACCTTTAAGAAATCCCCCATTCCGAGGAAAAATGTTTTGGATGGAAAATAACGAAGTCTACAAAGTTTTGTATCCATTTTGTTACTCCTCTTCTTTTGTTTTTTCCTTATTTTATGATGATGCTGATGTGACTCGCCCTATGTACTAAAACACACACGCACACCAATAAGAATTGGTTGTCCTACACTCACGTGGGTCCCTAAAACGTCATCCTCTCTGCGAGGACAACGCAAGTGCGAGCCATGGTCTACCGTCCACACGATATCTGCTCGGCGGCCTTTTTGAACGACACCCAGCGCGTCCGCCTGCTGGCAACCCGCGAGGCACCCGGGGGGGTGATCGACAACGACGAGGACCCCTTGGAGGACGCGGAGGAGGAGGCCATCGACGCCGACCCCGAGATGCTCAGCCTCCTCGCCCAGTACGAGCTCGGGGACGTCTCCGAGGAGGACGAGGAAGGGGGGGACCACGCCGGGGCCGAGGACGACGTGGAGCGGCAACACGCCGATCTGGCGCTCTTCCGCCGCATCGTCCGGCGGCAGCGGCGGGAGGCCGCCCTGGCCCGCGCGGTGGACCCCCCGGGCCTCCTCCAGGTCGGCCCCAACCCCGTCGCGCTCACCTCCCACGGCCTCTTCTTCCGCTGTGCGGAGTCCCAGGCCGGGGACAGGGAGGGGCCCCCCCAAGCGGACAACGATGGAATCGCCCGGACAACAGGCGAAACGGCCCTTCCGCTGCGGGTGAGCTGGCGGCCCAGCAAACGCAGCCCGATCCGGGCCTCGCCACTCCACTGGGCCGTGCTTGGCCGCGCGCACGCGGCGATTCGGCTGCTGGTCGAGCTCGGCGCCGACGCTCGACAGGAGATTCGCCATGACGTCGGGTACGGAGGGGGGGCGGTGAGCGGGATCGCCCCGGAGGCCTTGGCCATCGCGAATCACTCGCGGGAGACGTTGAAGGTCCTGCGGGAGGCCGTGACCGCGCGGAACCTGCTGCTCGAGCGGCGTAGCGAGGAGAAACAAAGCATCGAATGCCGTCTTGAGCAGCGAAAGGCGCGGAGGGAAAAGGAGAGGCTATCGAGGGAACAGCGTCGAACACAGGAAGAGGAGCTCGAGGAGAGTGCTTACAGTGGCATTGGGGAATCGGTGGACCAAGAACAGGACTACAACTCATAAAACCAACAAGAATAAATAACAAAAAAGTGAGAGAGAGTGTGGAGAAATTTTGTGAGGGTCTACAGTAGCTCCGCATCTGAATAGATGGTCTTCGGTCTTGTAGGAAGATTTTTAGGTGATGTACTGCAGTCGCGCAAAGGGGTCGTAAGCAGTCAAAACAAAAAAGCCAGAAAAAAAACTCCATACTTTTTAATGTACATTAGGCTGTTTGTTAAAATCTGTAGTATAATATGCCGAGATCAGTGTCCTATTAAAAATAGTAGCTGAGTTGGAAAAAGGGATATACAAATCGAATTGAGTTCCTCTTGTGATATTGTCATCATTGATGGCTTAGGAATGAAATATTGTACCTCTTGTTGAGAATCTTCTTTTTGATCTTCAACTTTTTCAAATGCATAGACATGTTCAAAGGACTACGGCCTCTATATTTCAAAAAAAAATCTATATAAATAAACGCTAAAGTTAGCACAATATAAACACGAGTAATTAGAAAAAAACGGGCACGATGGGGGATACCCCGCGGGAGGACATGTTGTCCAACTACAAAGAGCTCCAGAAAGGTCTCTCCGAGACGCTAGCCATGCAAAGCGAGGACGACGATGAAGTCGAGGCCCTGATTCATGAGTTCGAGGAGCAGCTGCAGGTGCTCGCCGCGGCCCTCAACGAAGGGGAGACGATTGAGGTGACTTCAAACCTACACAAAAAGCAGATCCCAAACAGCTCAAACGGGACGAGCACCATTGTAATATTTCCACCACCGCAGCCGGCCGAGGCCTCCTCCTCAGGGGTCTCTCTGCAGTGCGCGCCGTATGAGGTTTTTTACGACGACAGGGTGTGGTATCCGTGCGTGATTGCAGGGGTGGTACCTCCGGCATCGGCGATCGAGCGCGTTCGTTACCAAGTGCATATTTTAGGCTACCCCGTTGAGGACATTGTCTTTAGCGAGTCGCTCCGGACATGGCAGGCGACGACGATCGGCGCGCAGCTCCGCAGTGGGGCAGCCTGTCATGCAATTCACCCCACCACCGGGCTCTACGAGCCTGCGAATGTCGTGCGCCTCACGCTGGACGGGAGCGTTATCGTCTCTTTTTCTAAAGAAAATTCATCGATGGAAGGAAATGGCGAAGTGAAAGGGGAGAAACCCCCTCCCCAAGGCGCCAGCGCAGGTGAGAAAAGGAAAGGACAAGATCGGGTCGAGGTCGAAATACCCCTCTCTCACGTACATATTGGCCACTTCTACCCTGTTCTAAGAAAACGAGTGCAGCTCACGGAGGAGGAACGGGAGGCACGGCGTACGGAAAACGCGCAAAGGAAGCGCGAACGCATCCAGATGGAGAAGCAGCTGAAGATGGATCGCATTGCACAGGATGCTAATGACTGGAAGGCGTTGATGGGGGACTTGATGGGAACGCGCACTAATAAGAAACCTCGACGCTAATTCACCCCAACACAAACACGCACTCATATCCACACCTATCGCACTGTATCTTTAATTCTTGAGTAAGGTAATAATAATGATGATAGTGACATTATAAAGAAAAAAATTCTTAGCCCCATGAAAAGTAAGGTTAAAGCTTTGCGACCTAAGTTTAACTACCATTATTAACATTATTTTCTTCAACTGGACCACCTTTTTGGAATTTTCAATATTTCATAGAAATTATATACAAACACACATATCGATATCTAAAACTAAAATAACTATCACCACTAAAAGGTAAAAAAAATGCCAAAAGAGCACGCCAGCAAGGACAAGGAGTGTGGATGCGCGGTGAAGAAGATCTATCTTCTGCTCTACAACTCCACGATGTGCGCCGGCTGGGCCACAATTCTGTACAAAGTCGCCGAGCACCTCCTGCAGGGCGGCAGGTCGGAAACCCTTTACGAGAAGATCGCCCTCCCTCTCGTGGTCTTCCAAACCGGCGCCGTGGCCGAGATCCTGCACGCGATGTTCGGCCTCGTGCGCAGCCCCGTCGGGACGACCTTCCTGCAGGTGCTGTCCCGCCTGCTCGTCCTCTACGGAGCCGTGCGAGTTGGTGAAGGCCCCTCACGGCGAGACCCCGCCTTTCTCCAGATGATCGTGGCCTGGGCCCTAAGCGAGATTGTTCGCTATTCCTTCTACGGGACGAACCTCCTGGGGGCAAGCACGCAGATTCTGACCTGGCTGCGCTACTCGGCCTTTATGCTGCTTTACCCACTCGGGATCACCGGGGAGGCGATGTGCCTTTACAAGGCCCTAGACCTGATTAAGAAAAACAAGCCATGGTCCGTTGAGCTGCCCAACAAAATGAATTTCACCTTCTCGTGGTATAATGGTGTACGGGTTCTTCTCGCAACCTACCCGCTTGGATCGTATATCATGTACACGTATATGCTTTCTCAGCGGCGAAAGACGCTAAACAAGAATGCCGAAGCTGGAAAACATAAAGCGCAATAGAGTGGGGCCACTAAATGCGTACACAGTAAAATTTTGATTGACCTTCATATGCCGTGTGTATGCGCGTATATATTCCACTTTAGGTGTGATATTATTTGTTATAAACCAAATACATTATCATATATGCTTACTTTTTTTTCTTTTTTAGATAAGTTAGCATTTGTGAGTGGAGTATAACAACTTTCTTTTTGCTATTAGAGAAGAAAATATAACGAATAACGTATTTGTATGGTGTTTATTCCCTTGAAAAAAGGGATAAATGAAATAATATGCCCAACTAATCAAACATATAAAAATAGTGCGTGCACACACTCATACCGTAAATTTTAGGGAAAATGAGGGGAACTGCAAGTTAGTCCTCGTCATCCTAATATTCGGCATAATAGAACTTTATTTTCAATAATTTTATTGATTTCAGTAATTTTGGTATGAAAATTACGTAGTAAATATAGGCATTCTCTCATTTCTACGAACATGTGCATAGTGGCATTATATATATATATATCACTGTCTGTCTATGTGTGTGTGCTTAGTAACGAGAAATCAAAGCTTGTAGCGGGGGTACATGAATTAGGACTACTTCTATCTCCTACACTGAAAAAATGAATATTAATTTAAATATATATATGAAAATTGAATGAAGAATATTTTCTAGAGATCTGATGATTCTAAATAATTCAAAATAAGGACAAGTCTTCCAGGTAAACAAAAATAAATGTAACTGTTTATCAAAAGAAAAGGTTGATCTGAACATACAATGGATTTCTTCTATTTTGTCTATATATCTTAAAGATCTTTACAATAAGTTTATGCTGTATCAAGAAAGAACAAAAAAAATACCAAAATAGGTTAGTTATAGGGTACAGTGATGCTTGCTGATTGATTCCTTCATTAGATTTGCAGTAATATCACTTAGTGATTTAATTGTATACTACAACTACCTTCCAGGAATAGACCGTTTATTTTCAGTAAAAATATTCTAGTCTAACCACATGCTATGTGGCAAGAAAAAGTGTAAACAGTTTGTAAAAAATGGGGAATCCTCTAAAAAGGCTCTTTCAAACTTTTCTAACTGGAAACTTGAAACGTCATGGAGGTGATTCGCACTTTCCCTCGTCTAGACTAAACTCCTGCAAATGTAGAAAACGGTATTGTGAAGGAGTTTACTACGAAAAATAGTTTAATGAGCCATACGCACAAAATTAATGCATATTCAGTTAGAGCAACACACTGAAACGGCTTCCCTCTTTTCAATGCAACAATCAGTTCAAGTGACTTTCTATGTCAACACAAATGAGTAGTAACTGGGAATCATGAGATGCACTAATTTGTACGCAACAAAAAAAGAATTAACGATAGAGTAGACCAATGCTTTTCACTCTTATCATATTAATTTAAGTCAAACTTGACGTAGACATCTACAACATTTTTTCTCTTTCATACATTCAGGTATGTAAAATTATCTTTTTAAAAAGGATAACATTTTTTTGCATTATGGCATGAAAATTATCCCAAAATTATGATACCAAATGTTTCATCTTCTCTAACATTTTTAAAGGAACACACACGCTTGTTTGACTAGATTATAAGAAAAAGTATATGAGTGCTTGTGTGAGGCTTATATTACGTCGTAATTTAGATTAACTTCACATAGGTCTGTCTTTTTATGTATTTGACTACTATCTGATATCGTTACAAAAATTTATATTGGGTCATATTCTATTGAAAATGCATTCCTCTAGTACTAAAATTAGAGCAATAAATGTAGATGAGAAAACGCCAAAGTGCCATAAGAATAAAAATCATAGCATTAGCTTTAAGCTCGATTTAGATTCAAACAACAATTGGTTCTCGACTTCGTGGTTTTTCCCAACTTTTTTTCTGTTTCTGTTCCTATTCTCGCTTTATGTATTATCGAGGTATGGATCAGAAAGCTCTACTGAAAACATTACGAACAAAATCGTTCCGTACTCGTTCTATTATTTTATGTATTGCGCCCTCGCGGGTGCGCTATCTGGGATCTCCCATACACTTCTTCTTCCTATAGACATTCTAAAGTGTCGACTTCAAGTGGGCAGGTGTAAAGACTTTAAAGATGGTATTCATTCCATCTTCAAGTTAGAAGCAGGAAGTTCCTACTTGCAAATGTTGGGCATCCTGTATCGTGGATGGCTCCCGACCACCTGTGGCCACTTCACGCAAGGTGGAATAAAGTACTTTCTGTACGAAGTGCTTAAATACTACCTCTTGGGGATGATCCAAAAACCCTTTAACGTAGGCAAAGAAGAAACGTATGTCTTTGAGGTGCTCGGGCACACCGCCCAAAAGGCCTTTGGAATTTTGATTGCGAGTTGCGTGGCGGAGATCGTGGCGGACCTCGCGCTGGCGCCCTGCGAAGCGGTTAAACTTCGAACCCAAATCACCGGCTCGCACTCGGTGAGTCTCTCCACGGTGATCCATCAAATTTGGCTGCAAGGCGGCCTGAGGGCCTTCTACAAAGGCCTCATTCCCGTGTGGTGTCGACAGGTCCCGTGCACGGTCATCAAATTCATCTGCTTTGAAAGGATCGTACGGGTGCTGTACTGGTGTTTTAATAGAACGGGCACCAACGACAAGACGGAACCCCATGAAAGTGATGTGACCTATCTTTGTCTTTCATTGATAGCGGGAGGGTTGTCAGGAATGATTTGTGCGGTGATAAGTCATCCCGCCGATACCATCCTTTCCAAACTCTTTCACAACGACGACCCTGTCAATGTGATCCTTCCATTGCCCGCGGATCACAGTAAAGACAAATGCGGCGTTGATACCGTGTCCAAAAATTTAGTGGAAGTTGGCAAATGTGGCCCTTCAAACACCAATCCCATGTTTGCCTCTGAAATAAAACATTACAGACACAAGGGAGGGTGTGCAAACCCGCAAGAGCTCATAAATGGACTTTCAATATCTGAATCAAAGTGCAGTCTAAACACCACCGTAGATGTCAATTACATTGATTTGACTCCTTTGAAAGATTCAACTGACAACGCGCAAAAAGGAAGAATGTCGTTGATTGATCTTATCAGGAGCTTAACCTGGAAAGACCTCTGGCGTGGTTTGCTGCTTCGAGTGATTCTGTTGACTATTTGTTCTTCCATGCAGTGGGTAATCTATGATTCTGTCAAGGTACTATTAGGATTCCCTACAACAGGTAGCTCTTAGGATAAATACGGCAAAATCCTATGCAAGAAGCTGTTTGAATAGAGAATTTTGACTATGCATCAAATCAGTGGCCTTATAAAAATATTTTTTGTGTGTGTGTGTGTGCGGAGGGAGGGGGGGAGGGGGGCATATTATCCAAAGTATCCTTGGTTCTTAAAAGTCACACTTTTCTAATTATGCGATAAAATCGAATGACCTGCACAGAATTTATTGTAGTATTTTACATATTTAGGATTTATGCTCCTACTCCCTACCCTTCATGAGCACACGCACATCAACAAACGCTAAGCTAAAGCTATTTTATGACGATCCCTCACGAAGTAGTGTGACTTGTTTTCATCGTGAATCTCGTCAAAACTGCGATCATTTCTCGGGTATTTTAGTTTATGAATTGGAATATTAAAAGAAATATATATCACGACTCAATAAAATATTATTTTAAATCGATTCATTTCTGAGAACTTATGAAGGAAATATGTAAAATGGTAATCGGTCTGGAGCGGATTTATAATGTATTTGATGACTCTTGAATATATATTTCATAGCATAAGATCAACATTTTGTGTTGATACAGCATTTTTCCGTTTGTGTGTCCCCCTGCACCACATTCAGTCAGAGATTCCATGAAGTAATCTTTGTAATAAATATTTTGTTTTATTCTTGCTTTACTAGTCTAATTCTTAATAATTCATAGAATTTACAACAAAATATATAGTTAAAATAAAAGTTTCGTAAGACTGATCTTTTGAATGGGTTAAAATATTCCTTGTTTGTGTTTTGAAATTAAAAATCAAAAAAAAACATCTCTCAGTTAATTCACTAGGTCTCTTTTTTTCATTGTAAACATGTAGAAAGGAATGAAGGAAAAGAAGTGTGAAGGCGACATAGAATACAACCACACAAGGCATTGACTAGGTACACATACTTTTCACCACAACAGGTAGGAAAGATCCATTTAAATTGAGCCCATGACATCCCTCGAGGGGGAATGGCATGCGCAATCGACGCTACGCGACGGTAAGTGGATTGCCTGCCGGACCCTCCGCTGTGGCTGGCGGGATCTCGAGGCCGTCGTCTCCGGCCCCTCCCGGCGATTCGCGCTGTTGCG